ATTTTATTTTGGCTCTTGAAATATGACATTTCTGCTTGGTGACACTTTCTTCCTCCCTGAGTCAACCGTTTACTTAATCAATGTTTGGAGCCACAAAAGCAATGACAAGCTGGCTCCCAGTAGCAGAGATAAAAAGCACCATCAGTATCTCCAGGAAACCACAACATTTCCTTGAAAATATTTTAATGTTTCTATTCACATTGCTCTCTGCTCTCCTCCAACTTGTACCCGACCTCCAGCTGGATGTCAAACATCCTTTCCTTAGAGTGCTCATCCCTTCTTTTTATGGCCCTGTGACCTGGGAGACTGGGGATTGATTTTCTTCTCTGCCAAAGACTTGCCATTTGAAGTCATTTAGTGCCTCTGTGCCTCCGTTCCCTATCTGCAAAATAGAAAAGCATGGTTACTCCCATTGGGGGTGCTTGCAACAAAATGCATTAACATGCATGTATGTATTGTATGTCCCCGAGGTGGAGCCTGCCCAAATCTGTTGCTCTTTGAGGCATACTGAGAAGCTTGTTGGTCTGATGGTGCATTGATGGGGCAGCGCAGCAGTGAGGTTGGGATTTCTGACTGGTGGGAAAATGCAGCATGGGAAGAATGAAGCTAGCCGTCAATTAAATGGCAGATGATATATGTGTAAGAGGAAAGAAAGCATTGGTTTCCTCAATGTTCTTGTCTTGTTCCTGCCTCTTCCTGTTTGTGGCCTGTTCATGTGTGGGGTTTTTGGGGGGTTAGTTTTAAAAGCCTGGGATTTAAGCATGTGTTTCTCATGACTGGCGGCACTTCTCTTGCAGGCAGAGAATGCCTCTGGGGTAGGCAAGATGGAGGAAGCATCCAAGGCCTCCCACACCGCCCGTATACTGAACATAGTTGGGATTGTCCTAGGAATCATTTTTATCATCTCCATGATCATCTTCGTGATCGTGACGAAGACCGCGCGCTGACAGAGCGGCTTCAGCTGCCAAGAACTCACCAGCCACAGCCATTTGCATGTATCCATTGCAAGCTCCTTTTTCCTGACTCTAAGAAACGTGGGCCCACGAAACCAACCATCTGGGTCTAGGCAAGCCCTGAGGGTGTCTGAAGATGTCCTGTACAAGCACCCACGGCCTGTCCTCTTGGAAGCATTTCTTAGCAGTTAATTGCTTTGCCCTTTCCTAGCTGTGCTTTCCCGATCCATGCACATGTACATGTAACAAGACATAATAAAAGTGAATTGTGTAAGCAAATCTCTCTGTGCTTTGTCCCCACGCATGAATGGCTTGGCTTCCCACGCTGCCATGAGACAGCTGCCCTTTTCATGGTGCTTCCACCTTCGTCAAGGCACAGGATGGAGAGTGACGGCAGTACTCGCCCCCTCTGGAGAGATGTCTTAGCCTCCTGGTTCCCCAAAGCACAAAAGTCCCATTAACTTTAAAAGGATGTGAGCACACGTGGGCTTGCTTTGCTGAATCAGGAGCCTTGGAGCCCAAATCCAAGATCCAGTGATACCAATAGGAGTCTTGCTGGTAGCTTCAGTAGGAGAACAAGGAGGTCCATAACATCCAAGTCTGATATGTCCCATCCTAGTTGCATTTACTAGCATTTCATAGAAGGAAGTGGAATGGCATGGGTGCAACAGGAAAGGAGTGAGGTACATCAGCACACATGGAGAGGGACGGGATGGGATGGGTCTGGAATAGCAGAAGCCCAGACAGTCTGGACTGGGTTTACTGGTGGAGCAGGCTGAGGAGGGAAAGGGTCATCCATTGCCTTTGCTACTAGACCTAGACCCTCACTCTCTGAGGCATTACAATCAGCCACAGCCAGGCAGACAGGTGAAAAGACTCCAACGCATGCTCTCGATGTGGGAAGATCCAGATGAGGTGGCTACATCTTGTCCCAGCTATTCTTGAAGGTCTTAACAAAGAGAGAGAGACAAGCAGGTGATGCAAAACGGTTGGGTTAAAGCCACCACACATGGAGAACCGTGGCGTTTTGATTCATCAGCTGCTTTTACAAAGCTTGGCTGTGCCTTTGCATCATGCCATTGATGGAGTCAGGCAGGCCAGGAATGAGCTGCTGGGTTTCATGGTTTGGAGTTCATCATAGGACAGTCCATATGGAAATCCTCATTTTTAATCAACAACCCAGAACTGTCAAACTAAGGCCTCTTTTCCCGTGTGCTGTCCCGCCCGAGACCTCAGGCCCTCCACTGGAGCAGCTTGGGTCTCCCAGAGGCCAGGAGCATCTTTTCTGCTGCTGCTGCCAGTGGTGCAAATAGGTTGGAGGCAGATTCATTCTCTGGTCTAGACTTCTTAGCACCCAACACCCCCAAACTTCTCGTTCAAAGGGCAGGGAATCCCTATGCTCTGGCTCTTGAGACGGAGAGACAGTGTCTTTGCTGCAGTCACTCACCCCTGCCTGCCAGGCAGAGCACACATTTCTCTTTCCTTCTTGAAGCATGAGTTGTAGTGACCAGCCCCCAGGGGCCTTGCTCTGGGCAGGGGCTGGCCTGACTCCCCCAAGCAGCTGCAGGACTGGGCCAGACACTCTCCCATCCACTCCCTCTGTCTGTTCAGGCCCCTGCAAATGGTAGCATTGACAGGTGGGCTATTAATGCAGGCTGGAGGGACATGGAGTGTCTCTTTAGATCTGGGGGATTGTTTTGACCTGCCTTGTTTCCTTACAAGACCTTGATACCTGGACAGCGAGATCACGGGGCAGGTCAAGGAATCTGTTTCTAAGCATCTGGAGAAAAATAATGTGATGGGGAATAGCCAGCATGGATTCACCCAGAGTGAGTCTAAAGTAGGGTTAAGATCCAGAAGGGCCTTGATCAACTGGAGACATGGTCCAAATTTACCAGTGGACAAATGTCTGCATCACAAAACCAGAGCCTCTTGCATGTAGTGCCAGCTTGGACAGTCTCCAGCACTTGGGCAGGGAGTAGGACGATGCGTGCATGGGAAAGCATGTTCAGACTACGTCTTCTGCAAACAGAGAGGTCCAGCATGTGTTCCCAGACTGCCACTCCGGCTCCTCTGGCCAGCACTCATATCTCTTCCCTGTTTCCGAGCACTGTTGATGAGAGCCAGGCATGTACACCAGGCCTTCCTGTTTTCCCTTACGATTGCAGCTTCAGGCTAATCCTCCTCCTGGGCCTGGATTCCAGGAATCCCACGCAGCCAACAAGAGCTGGGTGCAACGGCCTCCACTGCCAGTAACCTGGTCCAGCTGGCCTGAAAACACATCTGTGGCCTCTTTCCAGATTCCCTCGGAGTGGGTGGGCACTGCTTGGAGTGCGTTGTGCAAGACTGCGCGTGTGTGAGCTTGCAACGGGTGCCTGGCAAGGAAGAGCCAGGTGTTGCTGGCTGGAGGCAGTGCCATCCCAGCCACTCGCACCCGTGGTGTCAACTGCTCCCTTGGCCACACACTGAGCCTCCCTGCACCCCGGGCTGGCCACCGAGCCTGGTGCTAGCTCCTCACCTGAATGCAAGGTCTGTATAGACCCTGTGACACCCCATGAAAGGCTGCCTCAGGGGCAGGGATATTCCTTGCTCAAGACAAGTCAACGGGGAGGAGGCGAGCTGTGTGCAGCACACAACACGCTGAGTGTGGGTGGCCCACATTCGACGCCTCTAGGATTGAAATCTGCCCGGTAGACTTCTCCTTCTCTAAAGCGGGTGGGTGTCTCCATCATGCTGGAGTACACCGAGTCCCTGCCAAGGCAGATGCATTCCTG